AAAGGGTACCACCGTAAATCACACATGCCAGTTCAAGCCCTTGTTTGGAAAAGATTCAAAATCTATTAAATTTAATATTGCGTTGAAACGTTAAGAAATTGAAACTACTGAAGGGTTGTAAAAATAAAGTTTTTGATTGGTGTATTATTGGGATCTCCTGTTCTACTAATAAAGCTTGCGCTGGGGTGGATTATTAAAGTTATAGTTAATTTTGCTTTGGCTATTGTATTTTTCAGGGGTGTATATTTTTTTGAGGGGGGGGGGGTGATTTTTAAAGATCCGTGGGGAAAAATGAAAAATAAAAAATGAAACACTAAAATGCAAGTTTTTTCATTCTTTTTCTACTTTTTACCCAAAAATGTATTTACTTTTCCTTAAAAATCATTTATTTTCCACAATTTAGGGAATAAAAAGCATGTATAAAATTTTCCATCCTTATCACTTTTTAGAAATAACTACAAAAAAAAAGAATTTAACAAATAACTATTTCATATTTTCAGCAGTATCAGAAAAATGTTTACAAGGTTTAAAGTGTATTGAAGAATTTATCTAAATCAAGTATTTTTCAGAAAACCCTTGTTTTCAATTCGATAAATTGAATAAACGTATGAAAATAAGGAGTAAAAAATACCCTATTTTCCCTTGGTGCTGATTTGATGTAAAGGAATAGGAAGTTGAAATAAAATTCTGAAAAGCCAGAACTAGTCTAAAAGAGAAAGTGTCCCCTGTATTTATGAAATACTGAATACAAACTTATTTCTTTAATAGTAAAACTTATTATCTGCACGAGGTTTATATATATACAGAGCGTCCTATATCATATTAGAATATCTCCAAGTTTTAACGCAAAAATAAACACATAATACTCGAAAAACCTAGCATTTTCCACAAGAAAATTCTTATATTAGCCTTATTCAATTTCTCTAAATGATTCAATCTTCTTAAATTACCTGATTAGTATAGTCCCGAAAATCGTGAATTTGACCAATTAACCATATAATATGATGATGGACACCCTGTACATAGAACTAAATACCCCACCCCCCCTTTCATTTTTCAAATAATCTTAAACTAACTTTGAAACCCCAAACATTGTAACTTTGTCATCCGTTTGGTAAATTAGAACTGTCTTAAACTTTGCTTGAAAAGGGAGTGTTCGTGAAATAGACAAGAGAGAGATATTCAAATATCCAGATTTCCTTCGTGGATTGAAGACGAAGAGATTGTGTGCTGACTTATACACTGAGAACCATAAAACTATGAAATAGAAAGACGACTGTTAAACTCTAGTTATGACTTGAAATCCTCCAAACAACATGAATACAGAAATTGTGGAGTTGACACAGAACTATTTAACTTAACAAATTGGTTTGTACGCAACTAGTAAAATTTTTTGCTTTATAGCATCATCAAATACTCATAATTGCTTAAATATCGCTTTCATAGTCACCAGTTTTATGGGTTTTACTGTAACTTAATCAAACCAGCAAAACAAAAATGATTTCCTTAAAGGGAGTGTTCGCGAAAAATGAAAATTTCATACTAGTTTTGATTTTTTTTTTAAATAATATTTAGCTTACAACTTGTTTTCGAACATTCCTGGAATCAATGAAAATGTCGTCTTCATTACCAAAAATCCTCGAAACAGGAATAAATGTTTTTATAAGTAACTCTCAGATCATAACAATTAAAACATATACAAATGTGGCGAAAGATAATCGATGACTATAGGTTGTAATATCTGAATGATTTGTTTGAAATAAAATTGATTTTTTTACGGTCTAAGTTGTATATTGCAATTTTCTCAATTTGTATGGACGCCATGTTATTCTGTATGAGACGTCTTTAACAATTTTCTCCTTATAGACGCAACAGATAGAAGTAAGATTAGTAGCGATCATAAAGCGCTTTTTTATCGCATTAAGCCTAAACCCCCTTTAATTTTTCGCGAACACTCCCTTTAACATGAAGAATTTTGGTCAGGTTTCGACAATTTTGGTTTCATTTCATAAATTGAACGAAATTCTTAAGATCTCCGGCTATGTTGACATAAAAAAGGTAGACCACATTTTGGAAATGCCAGATCTAGGGGGATTTTGTAATAACTGTTTTGACATCGACTTTTCCTGTACCATCCTTTTTCCTTTTCCCGAACACTCCCTTGAAGAACAGACAAGTTTATTTTAAAATACGCAGAAAAAAAGCTCTCAATAGTAAATATACATTTATTCGGAAATTTTAAATGAACCTATAAACTATATACATAACGTGCATTAAGACGCTGATTTTTTAATTTTTGCGTTTACCCAACCGTGTCTAACAAACGAAGGATATTCCACACACATACAATACGCAATGTGGTGACATGTACGCATGCAAAGTTTTGCGTCAGAACCGTAGATTATCGTTTTTAGATAATTCATCAGTTTTCAAAAATAATGATTAACTTTTGAAATCTTACTGACCAGTGTTAGCTTATTTCCTAAAAAGGGTCTGATAGTGAAAATTATGTTTGATTCTTTCTAATGTTTCTTTAGACATGAATCGGAAATATTTGATTTGATTATTTGTTGTAAAAATGATTTCCAGTTTATAATGAATAGCTTTGATTTAATCTCTTGTAAGGTTACAATATACATGTCTGAGTCAACTTGTATGTCGATGATAAGAACTAACAAAGCAGAATATATCGGTATTTAAAGGATTTATGCTAAATTACTTCATTGTTTCTGTAGGATAAATTCCATAATCTTAAAGAAATTTTAAGATATAAAAATAAGGAGTTCTCATTCATCCTTAATTGATTAGAGGTTTAAAGGGAACCGTTGTATATCGAACATTCCATTATTTTAACAATTGAGGATGATTTACTTTAAAGTTACGTCTACTGATTAGGTTAAGGACACACGAGGCTATTCCTGGCTGTATTAAATTCAAAGCTCAGGATCAAACCAAGTATACTCGTATATCCTCGTATAAAGACTATTTGGAAGATAGAAAAGAGGGTAGAGATGAGTTTGAACCTGAAATCCAACAATTGTTTCAATTAGTATACTTCATAATCCACCAGTTTAACATATTTTTCTTATCATCAAGGAAAAGAATATTTTTTTTTTAAAGAAAAGGGAAAAGGAAAAATTATCAAATATTAAATCCTTGATTATTCATCTATTCATTCGTTTACTTATATCGGTTCATCGTCATTCTGGCGAATTCTTAAAAACTGGATATTTGTGAAATGGCCTTCATGTCCTAATCTAAAAATTTAATATGCAAAACTAGAAAAAATATTGATCCAGAATAAAAAACTAGTTTAAATGAATCTACTAAATCAATGTTAACTGCATCAGAGCTAGCTCATTCATTTTTAAGAAAATTATTTTATGGACTCCACTGTACAACAAACAACAAAATTAAAAAATATAATCCTAGTCGAATGCACTTCTACACTCAAGTTAATCAAGTAAAATGTAGAATTAAACCAAAAAGACGAACAGAGACAATTTGAAGTATAAGATAGGCATGATTTTATACTTTTTGTGCATGCATGTAGCACTTAGACTACCTTGAACAAATAAACTTAATTATTTTTCAGTTTTAAATGATTGTTGATATTAGAATTTAATTATGCTGAATGTCCATCAGAAAAAAAGCGTTTATCTAAAATTAGATTTGTTCAGAAACTCCCAATATCTTTGTAACCTGATGTGTAAACCTTTAATATTTCAAACTTTAACCGTCTGATTGATAAACTTGTTTGATAAATCAGAAATTAAAATTTAAAATATAAAAGATCTACAACAACAGGTTGCAAAGTTTTAATGATTAGAAAATTAGAAATTTAGTGCAAAATGTTCAATTCCTTTCTAAATATCCTCGAAGTCAACACACGAAGGGCAGACCACATTTAAGAATTACCAATATTGGAAACTAATTCACACAAAACACAGTGTTTTCAAAGACGAGGTTTTAATTTTGTTTACTAAATGTTCATTAATTTCTTAAGCAATGACGCGAAACATATGGAAATCCAAGTTCACCTTCAGATTTTCAACTTTTCGCCAATTTTATTAGAAATCATTAACGAAATATTTGTATCTATTTTTTATTTTTTATGGACGGGGGTTGTGTACTTGAAACATAGTGCTGTTATCTACTTACCGGGATGCGTGGTTGGTTCTCTGTAAATTAATTTAATCCTGTACATGGAGGGAAGCAGTAAACAAACTCTCGGAGAACCATCTAATCTAAACAAAAATATTAATTCAATACAAAAAATCAATTTTAGAACTTTAAATTTTTTTTTGCATATGAGGGGGAGGACAGTTGAAGATTTGTGGAAAATTCAAGATTAAATCCACCACAAGGAATATGTAAATGATACATTCTATATGGATAATTGTGTTTTACTTATCATTCAAGGGACTGTTAATGTATTTTTACAGTGACCCTCTGTTTAAGGTTTAAAGTGACCCTCTGTTTAAGGTTTAAAGTGACCCTCTGTTTAAGGTTTAAAGTGACCCTCTGTTAAAGGTTTGAAGTGACCCTCTGTTTAAGGGTTACAATGAGAAACAGAAAAAATGAAATAGGAAGACGGCATTATAGTAATACTTAGTTGTATTTCATGTTTTTACAAAGCAAATAATCTTACTATGAAACTTATGAATCATTAATTGAATTGAAAGGGATGTGTTTACACTGCACAATTGTTGTGTCTCATGCGCGGAATTTTTAAAGTTAAAACCCGGCATTGCCTGGTTATATATTTTTACTCATAATTAAATAATCACTCCAGTGGTTTACCCGCACTTGTTATTAAATTATTATTTTAGGTGAAGTGCCAGGCGTTGCCTGTGGAATTTCACCCCTAGTGTTTCCAATTGGAGTTTATAGGGTCGCAATTGCGCATAAGTAAAATCCACTTGCGTTGGAAACCCTGGTCACTCTTAATCTACCCATAGGTTCCCTCAACACATTTTAGCAAATTTGGTCCAGCCGTTTGGCCAGCTTTAGCGAACTTATAAATATTTTAATATATAAGAACGAAGGCCGAAAAGCTTTGTTATAAAGATATGACAAAATGGTTTTGTGGAAAAATTACAGATTAGCGTGGCACAGCTCAGTTAGAACGCACCAAATACAAGGGAAATACAGTCCATAAGAAACCCCATGATGACAACTTTAATCCCATGCCACATTAAATTTCTTTATATGTGAACAAAGGAAACAAACACTTTGCAACCAGATGCAGACCTTTGATATTTCAAGCCATGACTTCTGTTATGATCAAATATAGTCTAAGTTTGGAACACCAAAAGTTTACACCATCAGGTTGCAAAGAATAGGAATTAAAAAATTGGAGTTTGTGGAAAATGTTCAATAATATGTTCATTAATAGTTCTTTTAAATGGGTTTTAAAGATTGGATTTTGTCAATTCAAAAGTTGCGAGCTCTTGTTAGCAAATATCGTTGAAGTACAAATGACCATGTTTTAAAAAGATTCCTTAATGTAATTGCAAAAGTTTAAAGGGTACCACCGTAAATCACACATGCCACTCTATTGACGAAGGGCCACTTTAGATTGCGTTTACATTACAGTACCAGAAAAAAGTTATATAAAGACAAAAAGTATCCGATTTTAACAAAAATGTTAAACCCATTACAAAAAGTTTCGACAAAAGAAGGTTACAACCAAAGACAAACAAAAAATTTGAAAAAAACGTTTCAAACCAAAGATAAACGCAAAATTAACCAAATTCAACCTTTGTAAAACTATACATATATTGTTTGAAACCCTTGTATAAACTATACATATATTGTTTGAAACCCTTGTATAAACTATACATATATTGTTTGAAACCCTTGTATAAACTATACATATATTGTTTGAAAGGTCTGATTTGATGAATTCAAGCTTAAAATTTTAATTGCTCCTAAGTCCTCTCCCTCCTTCTCGAAACACAGGCGACATTTATTTTTTTAAAGATGCCCAAGATTCAATCATTAAAATAGCCGGTCAAATGGGTCATGTCGCTACCCCCTACCCCAATCCTTGGAAAACATCTTTTTACGCCTAGATATGGATTTATAAAAATATAATCTGCACATTTTATAAACATTTTAAAGGTTTATATAAATCTCGAAATATGACCCAAGATTCATGTCAGAAATGAAATGCATTTTTTAACAAATAAATTTTTATCTCTACAATACTTTACGCAGGCAATTTGTATTAGTTGTCGTCTTACGAACATATTTGTGTGCACAACCTTAATAAAGTTCAGGGGGATTGTTTTGATATAAATTTTACAATTATATACAATTTATTATACAAGTACTTAATTCTTAAATTTCTCTAATTATATAAAAAAATAAATCAAATGACGCTTTTAATTTAACTATTTGTTTTTGCTCTTTCTGGATATGAAACTTAAATGTTACTGAGTTAACTAGATAATGCAAGATTTAACAGAAGAAGATTATAACTCATAAATTATTCTTACTTTTTATTTCAGTTAATTGATAAAATAATTTTGTTTTCAACCATGGAGTTCAATAAATGCCGATAACGTTCAAGTGAGTCAAATAAAAAATCAAGGTCTTTGAAAAAAAAGTATCAAATTGGGCGGGGGAAATGGGTGGCTGTCAAATTAAATAATTGTTTATGTAATTTATGAATAAAGGTGAGAGGCCGGCACAGAGAGAGAGAAAGAAAGAGAACCCCCAGCTGTAAGAGACGTGTGATCAACATTTGTAGATTAACTCGGACTTTTCTATACTGTTGCACTTCGGTTTAAACCATTTACAATGTTTCATTATTACTCTTTATCTTTAAAATATTCTTTAAATTTAAAAACATATTCAATTTGGTCAAAAGTTTTCTTATTTCTTAGTGTTTTAACAGAAAGTCCGACTTATCTTGACTATTACTAGTTGCAGGCGAACCAACCCAACGGCGTTTCATCTCTCAATTTTATACAATTTATTTTTTTCAATGGCCTAATACATAAAATATTTTATCTTGGCATCCCAAAATTTTAATAAATTACTAAACTGCATGCCTTAATATACTGAATGTATAATAAAAAAGTAACTTACCTCGTCTAGATCTTAGTGGATTTGCCTCTAAACAAGATTTTGAGTCGGAGAAACAAACTTAGATTTGTCTAGTTGCACTTTAGTCTGTATTAGTGTCGCCCCTAGCGGTGAGACACGGCAACTTCTCAAACTATCATGGCTTCTCTACCTCTGCTCTGGCTAAACCTCTTGCATTAAAACTCAAACATAAAATCCGCAAATATCTTTGCAACCCGTTTATGCGGATTCAATTTTTTTAGATAATAAGAAGCGCCGATGTAAACTGAATAATTCTGCACTAAATTTCAGAATTCGGAAGACTTTAAAAGTTGAATATTTCGCTAAAACAATTCACTTTAAACAACAGTAAATCCTTCCCTCGGAGTATAGTGGCGTGCTGCGAGCCGGGGCCGGGGGCCCCCAATAGGACTGGTACATTTCCACATGGAGGAGGGGGGGAGGGGCGCAAGAAAGGGAAGGGGGCATCCGGAATAATTGTTTATCTCTATAACTTGATCTCTAAATAATATAAGCAACATATAACAAAATATGATCATCACGTATCTTTTCCTATAATAATAAAGGTATGTTTTTAATATTAATGAGTTATGATTTCGAAGGAATTATGTTCACTGTAAAAAAAAATTTGTCGCATGCAATAACTTTTCGACGTGTAATCTAGTATTTCTTAATCCAGGCCGCGTCTTTTTTTACTGTTATTAACTGTATTATGTTTAAATACTTATCTATACATTCATATGCCCATGGGCTATTGCCTCTTTTAGTCCTTTAGTCCATGGATCGTCCTCGACCATTGTAAAAAATAACAATCTTTCTGAATTTAAATGTCGGATTACAATTTGCAATTGTTGTAATTATTATTCTTAACTGAGGCGCGGGGGGGGGGGGCATCGCCATCTTCATGGGAAATATAGAAACGCAAATTTTGTTATTGTATAAAATATCTTATTGATAGGTTCTAAGAAAAAGTTTAGACATGTTTTAAAACAGACAAAATATCCACCTGAAATAAAACGAGTATGTAAGTGTAGTGTAGTAATATAATGTTTTTTAATTTTGATTCATAAATCTTTGCTGAGGTTATATATATCATTGCTTTTTACACAGCACATTCAATTTTATTTGCAAGGTTCACGCTTATGGTTCAAAAAAATTGAAATGTAGGGGAACAAATTCAAAAAAAATTAAACATGTTTTTTTTTGTAAAATATACTTTCTCCACAATCCTGTAAATATTATTATCTAAAAAATCTCATAAAATATGTACTGACAACTTTTGCCATGAATCTTAGAAAGGAAGCTTAAATTGAGATTGTGTTGCATATAATTCTATACAGAAGACGATCAAATATTTGCGACATTACAGGACCTTGTATATAGGTCCTTTTTAAAGATAATATTTAGACAATCACAACAAAAAGAAAAAATATAGACTATCAAAAAATAACAATTAAAAAACATAAAATTCCTTTGTGCAGGCAAACAAACAAGGAAATATGTAAATTATACTCGAATAATAAATGATTGTAGAAAAAAAATATTTAAAATATAAAATTGTTATTTAAACCTTAAAAATTCTTATCATTTATTTTC